AATAGTAACTGACTGAAAATTCTGAAAATAAAAAGTACTAACGGTCAACTGAAATGACTGAATCCATGGAAACTGCTCAGAAAACCTCTTTTCTGGCGTTTCATCTTATTTGATAAACTGAGCCAGTTATAAATGTGTTGGAATTTTCTTACTTCATTACCAAAAACAATAATAATAATTGTTATTGATATTGAGTAACACAATAATATGATAACACAATAACAATTCTGGATATTATGATAGCACAGTAATAATTCTCACTGGACATGACAATCAGAATTGCTATCATTTGCATATTGTGCATGAATATGAATTGGTATTATACGTTGTAGTATATGAATTGGTATTATACGTTGTAGTACTTGCTGTAAGGAATGAAAAACGAAAAAATCGTCGAAATACGATTGTGAGTAAGGGTCGATGCCATATTTGCAGTTTGCATCACAGGTGCTGACTTGATGCCAGTCTTTTGATAGGTGCCGGAAGCATCTTTGACTGGTTCATCGCTTTGTAATTGTTGTTCGGAGTTCGATGATAATGATGAAGACCATCTATTGCTGTTACAGAAATCTTCGTCGTTACACGAACACACGTTCACCTCAACACCAGATTTTGTGGTTCGTTTTTGACATTCACCGTTCGCTAGATTACTCTGCGAACATGCGTAGTGAACACCAGTCACTGCATGATCGAGCATCAAACAAGCTGAAATCTTGCACAGTGTTATTCTTTACTTAGAGATTACTGCATGATCGAGCATCAAAGAAGCTGAAATCTTTAACAGTTTTATACTTTACTTAGAGATTCATACTTACCATTCATTACATACGATCTTCAATCTATCTTTATAGCAGTGAGTGAGAAGGGGATATAAAAATGAAATCGATAACCATAGAAATTAAATTCTCTTCACTTGTGTGTTAAATATTACTGGTGAAACGATAGAAAGGTGCACAATATTTGATAGCTTACTGAGCAGTTCCGCTGGATCGGATGATGTAAAGAAATTCAGGCGTTCCAGGGCAAAGCTGAGAAGACGGCCCTCTTGAAGATGACATATTCGATATACCGGTAGTAATGTGTAGATCGACCTATAGTGAGCGATCAATTTAAAATATAATATATCAATGAGTGTCACTGCGCTAATGTCTAAACATTAATATGTTTCCTGGCAAACCTGAGAATACAGTAGGCGTGAACGTATCAAACTTAAATTTTTATACTATTGCATTGCATCTATTGATCTATAGTGAGCAAATGCATAACAGTGAGCGATTCAGCGCTAGT